AGCGAGTGTAGAGCGTGTCTCCCGAGGCAGATGAAGCTCTGTCTCGTCTATGTCCGGGGGTGGTATGCCTAGAACGGCATTCACAGGTCTAGAGTCTACATAACTCGAGACTGAGTCCCTGTGAATGCCGTTCAGGGCCTGTCTGTACGCTGTCGGGTCCAGAGGTTGCTTAATGAACCTCTGGACTTCGTCCGTCAGTTCATATAGATGCCTCCTGACGTGCCTAGGCGAGGGCTCCTCTGCAAGCAGCTGTCTGTTTGGGTGGCCACTTCTGTGGCTCCCGATCAGGAACTGCTTGCAGAGCATTATATTATGCTCCTTAACTGGGAGCATTTGCGCCTCGCCGTGCAAGTGGTGTTCAGGCGACATCAGGAGGCATTCCGTCGCTGTCCTAAGTGCCGTATTTTGTACCGTCTGTAGCTTCGTCCACTGCGTCCTACTAGTCCCTGGCGACCACACTGGCGCTGCGTAGTTCAAAACCGGCCGGCCTATTGCCTTGTATGTTGCCAGCAACGTTTCTTTGTCTTTGCCCCAGTACTGCCGGCTAGCGACTTGAGGACCTTGTTGCGGCTCTGTACTTTATTGACAATAGCGGTTGAGTGCGCAGAGAAGGAGAGCAGGCTGTCGAATGTTACTCCGAGTATTTTGGGGTTATTCACCGTCGGAATTGGTGTGTCATCGACGTGAATCCCCAGCGGTAGCCTGACCTCCTTCGTCCAGGTTGTGAACAGGGTCGCGGAGGATTTCGTAGGGGAGAGGGCTAGACACTTTGCAGTGAAGAAGCGAGAAAGTTCGGAGAGATAGCCGTTTACTTTCAAACACAGGTCATCAATTCCATTCCCAGTCGCCATGATCGAGCAGTCGTCGGCATAGGAGACAATCGAGACTCCCTCTGGTGGTTGAGGGAGCTTTGAAATATAAAAGTTAAACAGTAGCGGGGAAAGGACACCACCCTGAGGAACCCCCTGTTTTATTTTTCGCTGCTTACTCATTTTGTCTCTAAATATTACCGACGAATGTCGACCACTCAGATAATTTGCCGACCACCGTTTGAGCCTCTGTGGGAGAGAGGAGGCCTCTATATCTTCTAGCAGCGTGGAATGGCAGACGGTGTCAAACGCCTTTGACAAGTCCAACGCTACTAGAATGCCCTGACATTCTAGGGTGGTATCCCTGCGGTCGATGTCTGCTTCGATAAGACGATACTGCACGGTGTGGTGCGTGATGAACGCTAAGCCACCACCATTATCTCGCTCGCGATCTCGACGGTGCACGTTGTACCCGGCGCAATTCAACAAAGTTGAATTGCTGTGCAACTTTGTCTCTTGGACCGCAGCTATTAATATACCATGCCGACACATGAAGACGGTTATCTCCTCAATCTTGCTCTGTAGCCCGTTACAGTTGAATTGGAGGAGCTTCATGTGGTTCGGGAGACGTGTCGTGATGTGGGGTGTAAGTGAGGTGTATGTTCTTGCCGCCGTTGGCTGTGTGTGCTGCTGAGGTGATTGCCGCCCTGTGGTGGTGGTGGGGGGCGTCGCAATTGACGTCTGCGACCGAGCAGCGCAACACGGGCCCTCGAAGTTCCCCGTCCAATCTCGCGTGGTACGCAGACCTGAACATGCCCTAAAGTGGCACCAGCCAAGGCAGGTGTTGCACTTGACTGATGTCACATTACGGAATATTCTGGTCTGACATACCGTGCAGATTGTAGGGGGAACCAGGAGTTGTTGGCGGCGGCGTGTGGGTGGTGGTGCGGTTGTGTGTGTTATGTGGTCTGTGGTGGCTGTGGTGGCTGTGGTACGGTCGGTGGTGTTATTATGTTGTTGTGTTGTGGCGACTGTGTGTGGTTGCTGTGTGAATTCCGCACCAATTTTCAAGACTGCATAAATGGACTTAAAATGGGTGTTTCTCACCCTAACTGTATTATGTTAATGTATGCAACTACTATTAACTTATCAAACCATTCCTATTATTTGACGATACATATTTGATTTCATTCTTTTAATACTGTATAAACATCCGAAAACATTAAAACGTTTGAAATAAATCCCGTCTCAGTTTTTTGTATTTTTCACTTGGTTGCTGAAGTAATGAAGAATTGAAAATCTATACGGGAAAATTATAGTTTTTGTAAGTTGTATCTTAATATCTTAAAAATTTAAGACTTATTGAAAAAAGATAAATGAACGTGAGGTACTAAATTTAATAACCCTTAATTTGATATATCGTCCTGTTTATAAAAATGAACGCATTCCATAGATATTACCAGCCAAAGTTTCATTTTCAAAATTCGTAGACTTTGATGCAATTGCGCGTGCTAAAGATAAGTTTTAAATTAATCTTTCGTGGCCAATAACAATTGGCTAAGACCTAAGACATCAAAATATTACTATTACAATGCGGTCAAACGACTTTTATTTTCCCCCATAATAAATCGACCCAGCCTAGTGAACATGCTTTGCTCAGATGGTCTATTTCATTTTGTACTTTTCACAAAAAAAAACTTTAGCAAACTTTAGTAGAAAGCGTAGCAAAATTCTTAAGGACCTCGTATTGCTTAAAAAATTTGGCTCAATAAATTTTTCTTGAACATCTCTTTGGCGTTTTTTTATTCGTCGAAATAAGAAATGTTTACAAATTATAACATAAAAACAGATTTGGTTTTTATTCAACCGTAACTTCAGTTGCATTTCTGCTTGGATACAAAAATTTAAAACCAATGGTTTGTCTCTATTGAAGAGATAAAAAATAATTTATCTCAAATGGAGAATAACGAATATTTAAAAAGATTAAAACCACCAGCGCAGATCTCTATTATTTGAAAATATCAAGCAGCACTTTAGTGGCCATTGCAATTTTTCAATCATTAAATAAACTGAATAAAAAACAAAACTTAAATTTTGTTGTTTTGCGAGCATATTTTTCAATACTTTAGTGCTTATCTAAGCGCTTAAAATGGATTTTGTCTTGCTTATTTTCTTCGGTTATAATATAAAAGGAAATATTTTTGTACATATATATAAGTTTTTTGTTATACTTTGGCCTAACAGTTATATTAAAAAAAAAAATTATTGAGCTTGGGGCCGTTTTTCATGAAAAATGTTGTGGAAAAACAAAAATTATTTACATTCGTTTAATATTTATAATAATGAAACACATGTTTGTAGGTAATGAGAAAAATTAATTAAAACATGAAGGCGTCTGAATTATCATCACCATGGCAAATCTAAAACATTTTAAATCAAGCTTAAATGCAAACCTTATCAAATTTTTAAATCAATAAACTCATGTTGAATTTGAGCCACTTATAAATTGTGAATCTAGTGTATAGTAGTTTAACAAAAATAAACTAAGCATGAATGGAAATATGAAACCAGAGCCAACACTAGCAAACAGTCAATGGTTATGAAAGTATGAAACTATAAATGAAACTCGATAGATATATTAATATTAAAAATAAAAGCATGCAAAATTAGCAGAAATACATATATGTACAAACATACATATGTGTCCATGTACATACAAAAGTAAAAATTCGTTTTTGATAACAAGTCTCATATCTCAGGGGGAGAGGAGATTGTGAGGGGATTGATCTTTCCCTCCACCCTAAAGCATTTAAACTCACCTCGTTTAGATGATGATTTTGCGATTGCTGTTGTTGCAATTGCAAATGCTGCAAATGTTGCGAATCGTTAATATGCTGCTGTGATGAATTTCGCTGCTGCTGTTGCTGTTGCTGATGTTGCTGATATTGTCGATTCAACTCATTGGCCGTTGCTACAGTAATTGTGGCTTTTGCTGACTCACCAGGAGTTGCTTTTGATGTTGCATGTTCACTATTCATTTTCTAAACTCCACCCAATCCAGTTCTGCATGGCGAGCATCTTCAATAGAATTTTCAAGTGCACAGCACTTTCATTGATCTCTTATTTTTCAATGGATTCACTTTTTAGGAGTATTCTAATATGAATAAAAGAAGAATCCGCTAAAGTTACAATCGGAGGAGAACTGAAAATATACAATTTGAATTGAAAATTTGTTTATTTTAAATTGATTAATGTAATGCGATTTTAAATAGTGCACGATCACCTATGCAATCGCCTTCTAAGCTAAAACTTGTTTGCAGCATAAATAGAAGGGAGGGATCCCTTCTTAGAAACTAAACTTTCGATTTACAAAAAAACTAAAGCCGCCTAAATGGCTGAAGCTTCCCTACCGCTGGGGTAATATGGATAATATGGAGGTTAATTCTCCCAGGCTACCAAGTTGCTGGAAAACTATTTTTTTTGTTTATTATTCACAAAAAAGAAAAAAATTATAATGTACTTCACAAACTGCAGTTGAATTTTTTTCCCCCTTTTGGTATTTGTAATATCTATACCAACCCTGCCAGTAAGTGGATGAGAATTTTATCGCCTATCGCCCGGATGTCACTTCTTCGTCACTATTGGAAGTTATCAAAGCGATAGTAACTCATTTCACAAAAACAAAAAAACATTTCTGTCGATTTTCTATCTTCTTAAGAGGTGCTCGGACGATTTTTACTCTTTGTAGTTTTAAAAATTAACCAGGGACGTGAACCGGTTTTGAACCGAACCGGTTTCGAACCGGAAAACCGCTCTTTTCTATTAATTAACTAAACCATTAACCGAACCGAAATTTTCCACAAATGTTTGATCCGAACCGAAAACCGAACCACTTTCTATATAGATTGAAAGTTTCGTTTCAACAAATTTTCAATAGATAAATGTACCCACTTTTTTATTTTTGGTAAACATGGTAATACCCATCATGTTTGTTTACCATGTGACAATATCAAATGTAAAGGCAACCCATCTTATTTGACAGACACTTGACCCTTAACCTTGCGCGTTGTTGCACTTGACACTTGACACTTAAACTTGCGCGTAATTTTTTTGTTTTTCGAACCGTTGAACCGAACCGAAACCCCGGTTCAAAGACCAAAAAACCGCTTTGACGAACCAATCCAAAAGTGCAAAAACGGTTCGAACCGCTGAACCGAACCAAATAAATTTTTCATCCGGTTCACGTCCCTGAAATTAACAACGCAAATCTTGAAAGTTCAATCAAATAAAATTATATTTTTGTTTTCAAATTGTTTTTTTTTCAGTTAACGTGCAGGCAATCTTATAATTAATAATAAAATTATGTTTAGATTTTGAACGGATGCGTTAATCGATTTATTATGCTAATGCCTTTTTACTGCTTTTAAAAATGGTTAGTAGGAATTTCATAAAATATAAATGCGTTTGAAAATGGCGTAAGTAACTCTGCGGCTGTGGTTGCAAGCTCAGAAGTACCCCAAATTTCCTATTATGTTTTATCAAAAATTTTACCAACAGACGAGTCTTCTTTAACACTTCAGTCTTAAGCGCACAAGTTGCTGTCATTCCTATCGAAATAGTTCCTAATTGCTGTATCGCTTTCGTATCATAAAGACGTGACGTCATGGTGGACCAGTTCTTCCCGAGAGCGGATAAGAATTCGAAAAAATAGCGATATCAACGGCGATGATTTTCACAGCAATGTCGCGTCGTATTAGTAACTTCCGCAATAGAAAATGCTGGCAGGGAACTTTCAATTTTCTCCTGTAACCAATACAGGTTGCTCAAACATCTTGAAATGCGCTACTGAATACCTTTGAGACTGACAAAAAATACTGATGATTTTTATAAAAAGTTACTTTTGCCATTACAACTGTGGCTTGTATTATTTTTTCAGCTAATTTACATCTGATAAAATAAGAGTGTGATTCTGCCGCGGAAAATATTTTCTCATAAATATACGATCGAGGTTCGGAGCCCGCATAGAACTGTAGGTCCCTCGCCTTTGTGTGACAATATCAAAGCGGACGCCACAAATCGGAGGAGAAGCCAAGGCCAAGCACTAACATATATCTGTGTTCGTATGAGATAGTAGCTTATGTCGAAAGGCTGGCTTTAGTATAATGCGGCATTTGTAGCATACGATTGCGAATGACTCACTGGCGCCGAACCGTTTAAGAACTTTTAGCAAATAAACATGCAAGAAATAGTTCAGATACTAGAAAATCAATATCTTTTTTAAGTCTCATCAAAAAATTTATTGTCGTTTGTTTAAGCGACTTATGCATTTCCCGCATCAACAAAGAACAGCGAACAAACACACGCAATTGTATTGCACTCCCGCCCAAAACCAAGTGCAGCGAATAAACAAACGCACTTGTGTTTAAAACATAATTCGCTCGTTCTTCATTGGGTATGCATTTTTTATGCAGTTCTCAACTGCCGCAGAACAAAACCTACTAAAGTAGTTAATTGCTGGCACCCCAAATCATGCTCAACACTCCCGCTTGATGCATCACAACTCCTCCGGAGTTGTCTCACGGGGCTCTGTATGGCTTTCGGCATACAGAGTTGGTACAAGAGTTACCATTGGCCACAGCGCCTACCCAATTTTCTAACTTAAATACATAACCGATGCTCAACTTGCTTGACGCATCAACCCACAATGCTCAACACTCCCGTTTGATGCATCACAACTCTTCCGGAGTTGTCTCACGGGACTCTGTATGGCTTTCGGCATACAGAGGTGGTACAAGAGCTACCATTGGCCACAGCGCCTACCCAATTTTCTAAATTGAATACATAACCGGTGCTCAACACTCCCGCTTAACGCTAAACATCGTTTATAGAATAACAGGAATGTCGCATTATACTAAAGCCAGCTTCCCGACATAAGCTACTACTCCATATGAACACAGACATGTAGGCGCCAATATATTATTATTATTATTTAAATTTGAAATGGTCTTAGGTTGCTTAACCAATTGTTTGGTTAATACATATACATACTTATGTACAATATAAATACTTCTAAGTAAAATATAAATATTTTGTTACTTAGAAACGTAAAGCTTGGTACCAGCACCTCTTTCGGCAAGGGGGAAAATAATATAATATATAATAAATGTATATATATATATATATATGTATACCACCAGAATAAGTCCCATACAAAAAAAACTATCACGCATTCGCTATACGGAGAAAATGCGCAACATCATCAGCGAAAAAGTTCTCAAAAACCAACGGTAACTTATAGCCATTTAAAACTTGCACTTTATGAAACTGAAATTGAGTGAACTACAAAACTGCATACTTAAAATTAGGTGCCATTTGATGCAAAATGAACTATATTTCTACTAAAAATTTTCCAAAAAATGCTTATTTTGAAAAAGAAAAAACACTGTATTCTGGGTGTATATATTTACAGATAGGTAAAGGTTTCAATATGTTTGGAAAGTGCCACACCCCCTTTTCCAGTAGCCCAAAAATCTCTACACCAATTTCCAGGACACTACCACAAATACTTCCAGAGAAATACGGTATGAAAAATTCGATATGTATGGCTGATCCTTTAATATATCGAATGTCTGCAGTAGATCACCAAAATTTCAAAAAGATCGTTACAGCCGTTCGCGAGATCACCTCTTATAAAAAGAAGGAGCTTCTCTTTACATAATTAGTGTAGGTACCACAGGACAACACCGATTTTGATGCGGCAAATGTTGAACCTGTTTTTGGTAGACTTTTTTGTGCTGATTACGAATCCATAAGTGTAAAGTTTCCATCAGCTTCACATTTTGAGAAAAACGTGGTGAAAGTGCAGGCAAGGAAACAAAAGGTGATGGAACCTTCCACTTAGGCTTAAATTAAAGCTAGAACTACATGCTACTATCCCTGAAAATACTATTCCAGCACCTTGCCCTGATGGCCACCTATACTCAATTACTTTTTATCGTCCAGCAATAAAAAAAAACTACTGAAAAATTATGCAATTGACAAAAAAAAAGTGTCAAAATCAGTGTTAGTTGTTCAATAAATGACTATAGGTGACCTTAGGGTCAAGGTACAGGAATGGTATTTTCAGGGATTGAAGTCAGAAGGCCAAGCCTTAATTTAAGCCTAAGTTCTATCACCTTTTGCTTAATTGCAGGAATTTGCAGGGATAGTAGTCGAGATTTTTAGCTTTAGTCTAAGCCTAAGTGGAAAGTTCTACACCCTTTGTTTCCTTGCTAGAGCCTCTCAAATATTGCAAAAAACGCGATTTTTTGACACCTTGACCTCGTTTTTCTTAAAATTTTGAGCTGATGAAAACTTACGGATTCGTAATCAGCACACAAAAAAAATGTCAAAAATATTGTCCACATTTGCTGCATACAATTTTTTTCCATTTTTGTTGGCCTGTGTAATAAGTATTGTTAATTAGCCGACACCCGAATGTTTGCGGCGCCTTCAAATACCTTTCGAACTGTAAAACAATGACTCAATTCTATTCTACGCATATCTATAATACGGGTATCGAATTTCAAGCAAATCGGACCTTAAATAAGATTTTTGGAATATATCGGTATCTGGTCCACCTATCAGAAAAAATATCCTATATGTTAACCCAGGCAATAAGCTACCTACGTACCAAATTTCAAGCAAATCGGATCATAAATAACACTTTTTCGAATAGATCGGTTCCTGGTCTACCACCATAAATAAGATTTTTCGAATAGATCGGTATCTGATCCACCTATCAAAAAAAAATATTCTATATGTTAACGCAGGCAATAAGCTACCTACCTGCCAAATTTCAAGCAAATCGGACCATAAATAAGACTTTTTCGAATAGATCGGTCCCTGGCCCACTTAAGGGAAAAAATTGATCCTCTACGCTAATCTAGGCAAAAGGTTACCTACGTACCAACTGCATTTTTTTAGCGTATCCTATCGAAAAAATTAAAACTTTGTGCACTCCTACTTCTAAACACCTTTCCAACAAAGCAGCAACCATTCGAATCGGTTATGAAACATAGGAGAAAATTGTTCCCAATTGATTCATGCTCACAATTAATTTCATAATTATCCGAAATTTGCATCGGTTACGAACAACTAAGTGAAAATTTTAGCCAAATCCGCCCAACCGTTCTCAATTGATGAATTACTATACATTTTTCA